TGCTTCAAAAACATGGTAAGCCATTTCTTTCTTTACAAGATTTAGAATCTACACAAGGTAGTTCAGAGACAGGAAAATTCAAAAGAGGAAATCAGAAGCTATCTATGAGGGGCAAAAAAAAAAAAAACCAATAAATGACAAAGTTACATATGTAAAAAATCAGAAAGAAACATTCCAGAAGCCAAGAATAGAACCCAGGCCACCATTGTCAAAAGGCAAAGTCTTGGCTACGGAGTTACAGTATTGAGCAGCTTTTATTGCTCTTCCCAGAAGGAGCCTGAGAAGCCCATTTCAAGCTTGCAAAGGCTTTTAACTGCTCAAGAAAATTTTTAGACTTAACTATGACATGAATCCCCAAATTCCTGTCTTCTAGAAGGTGGAAACCAAGAGAAAGTATCCACACATGGTCACAAGATTAAGCCCTTAAGGGCACAAAACAAGACAGAAAAATTTCATCCAGTGTTCTTCAGGGACCCAGCCTGCCAGGCTGGGTTGAAAAGCAGGCTTGAAAGTGGGCCCTAAACCCACATCTCATCCTGTGATGCCCCTTTCTCCATTACAGAACACAGAAAGACAAATTCTTAGCACAAAGTACACCAGATTTACCACCGCCTAAGACTAGTCTCACACATCTTTTTTCTATTAATTAAACCCTTGCAGAGTGACAAATAGTGATGTTTACCATTTGCTCAGAGAAAGAGAGAGACCAGAAACTTGGCTGGTTAAGAATTTCTTACACTTTTTGACAGCATACCAGACATCTGGGCTCCCTTTCTATGCAGCTTCAAGAACAGAGAGGCTTCTAATGACCTTGCTCACTGCACCATAGTGTGGGGTTCAAGCCACTTTACAAGAGAAAATCACCCTTTCCTGTTTAACGGAAATTCAGGCAAGATTCTTAATTTGCAAGATGCTGCCCAGTGGGCTGCATGGGGAACTGAATTAACATTTTCCATGCCAGCTAAATACACACATAACAAAACAAACATGAGTCACCTCGCTCAGCACCCAGTGTCAGCCTGGCAAAGCTCGAACTTCTTCCCATTGGTCCCTGTTGTCTCTGATCCACTCCAGGTGGGGACAGACAACCTCGGCATGGTAATTCACAATAAGGTCTCTGAGCAAGGCAAAGAGCAGATAGTCACCCAAGACAGGCCTGTTGAGCCTTCTCAAGGGTTCATTGAATATGACCAGACAAATAAGGAGGGTTCTGGGTCAGGGCTGCTGGACGTCCATCAGCAATCCCTTCTGAGATCCCTTCCACATACACAAGCACACACAAAGATGAGAGGACAGAAGGCCCCTCAAATCAGGTCCCTAACCAAGAACTCCAGGAGTATCCTATACACTATCCTCCTATTCCCCTTCTGAGAAACCTCCTCAAAATCTTCCTGATTCAGGAGAAGTCTCCCAAACCAGGAATCTCCCTGCTAGTTAGAAAGAGCCAACCAAGACACCCTACCAGCCAAACAGACACCCTGCAATGGAGCTACAGACACCCACCCTAGGGCTACAGAACCAGTCAGAAGAAGGAAGGAGGTGTTGGCAGTGCCTAGGATACTCACCAATCCAGACACCCCATCAAGGGGCTACAGACAGACACTCTGTGACAGGGCTACAATGAAGCGAGGTTTCCCCAGGACCATTTCTTCAGTGCAATTCAATCCATGCACGCTGGGTTCATGGTGCCGTCCAGTAGAGACAACAGCAGAGTCAGCCTCCGTCCAAGACAATTAGGCAGCCGCTTGGGCTGGCTTCTGGATCCATCGCTGATGGGGGCCACCGAACCACAGGATGGGTATCCAAAAGGGCAATCCCGGATTCGTAACCACCCAAGGGGTTCACCTTTCCTGCTGCCTAGGCAGAGCCAATTTATCAAGACGGGAATTCCAATAGAGAAAGAGTAACTCACACAGAGCCAGTTGTGTGGGAGACCAGAGCTTTATTACTACTCAAATCAGTCTCCCCGAGCATTCAGGGAGCAGAGTTGTTGTTGTTGCTGTTGTTTTGGGACAGAGTCTTGCTCTGTCGCCAGGATGGAGTGCAGTGGCGCAATATCGGCTCACTGCAATCTCGGCCTCCTGGGTTCAAGCAATTCTCCTGCCTCAGCCTCCCAAGTAGCTGGGACTACAGGCACACGCCACCACACCCAACTAATTTTTGTATTTTTTAGTAGAGACGGGGTTTCACCACATGGGCCAGGAAGGTCTCGATCTTTTGACCTCGTGATCCACCTGCTCGGCCTCCCAAAGTGCTGGGATTACAGGCGTGAGCCACTGCGTACAGCCGAGAGCAGAGTTTTAAAGATAACTTAGTAGGTTGGGGAGAGCCAGTGAGCCAGGAGTGCTGACTGGTCAGGGATGAAGTCATAGGGAGGTGGAGCTGTCTTCTTGCACAGAGTCAGTTCCTGGGTGGGGCCACAGGACGAGATGAGCCAGCTTGTCCATCTGGGTGGTGCCAGCCGACCCATCCAGTGCAGGGTCTGCAAAATATCTCAAGCCGTAATCTTAGGAGCAGTTTAGGGAGGGTCAGAATCTTGTAGCCTCCAGCTACGTGACTCCTAAACCAGCATTTCTAATCTTGTGGCTAATGTTAGTCAAAGGCCATCTAGTCTCCAGGCAAGAAGAAGGTCTGCTTTGGGAAAGGGCTGTTACTGTCTCTGTTTATACTATAAACTATACACTTTCTCCCAAAGTTAGCTCAGCCTATGCCCAGGAACAAACAAGGCCAGCTTGGAGGTTAGAAGCAAAATGGAGTCTGTTAAGTTAAATCTCTTTTTCCGTCTCAGTCATAATTTTGCAGAGGTGGTTTCACTATGACACCAAATAAAGCGGCCATCATCTCCAGATTTAACCTCCAAGCTGAACTGTTTTTAACTTTATTTGGCTAGTAACGCAAGTAGAACACTGTGTGTTCTCCGTGGACTGGCCAGAGCCACTGCGTGGTCAGTCATCTCTCATCAGGAAGGAGTGCTGGGGGCACTGCTCTGTTTAAACCACAGAAGGGAGGGGAGTCCGGTCACAGACTGGGATGATTGGCTCAAGGAGACAAAGGAAGGGGTTCTTCATTTCTCGTGTTCCAGAGCTGGCTTCTGCTTCCTCCTTAGGAAAGCACTCTGGTCACAGCTGAATAAGGAACGGGTAAGACAGAAAAAAGATCAGAGTTTACTCCTCACCCCCCAAGATCTGATTGCCTCATCCAGACAGTTGAAACAGGTGATCAACATCTTCCCCAGCTTAAAGACCAATTAAGGGATCATTTCTAAATCACTTTCTCACGGGAGACACTGGGTTTTCTTACTCTCCTTGGGCGCTACTGACTCTGGGCACTTCAGCCGTTTGCCACAGGAATTGAGTTGACCGTGTTACGTGGCTTTCTTGAGATGTTAGACCTTGAGGGAGAGGAGAACGGTCGATGTGGTCCTAGTGATGGAGAAGGGTCCTGTTTTCCCCAAATTAACCAGAGTGAAATCTCAGAACTCCACAGGGAATCTGTCACCGAGGCCAGTGTGTGCGTGATGCAACTATTGAGAAACAGCAGTGGATACTCACAAACACGGTGTGTGGCATCTTACAACCATGAGGCTGAAGTCAGGGGTGACGCAGGAAGAACATGGCAAAGCCACTCCGCTTGACAATGCACTTTAAAAACCACGCGGATGTTGTAAAACACAAATATTTTACTGCACATCTTACTGGCTGACTTGCACAATACTTCCATTATAATTATGGGACAGACACAAAATGAAAAGAATATTTTTAACAAAGCACTTGCACAACGCAGCTGTACCCATTCTTAATGATCATTAATGTCTCATCCAAAGAGAACTGTACTTTGTTTCTTTTACCGAAGGTCAGCATACTGGGAAGCAATTGTCATCACATCTCAGACCTTTTTGCATATTTTCCCGCATTGTTCTGGGCCTGCAAGTGCGCAGACGAGTCGATTGGTATGCAGATTGTCTGTCATTAAAGCCATTTGGAAATCAGCTTTGTCATTGGTTTGGTGCTGGAACTTCAGATCCTAGCAGACACCACTGGAAAGCTCTGCACTCAGAAAGGGAAGGTGCACGGCCCTGCTGAGCCCCACCTCAGGGCTGGAAGAAGAAGCTGACCTTGACCTTGAGTCTAAGCAATGCCCCAGCAGACTGAAACGCCACACCTCCAATAAAGAAAACACATGAATGACACAAGCAAGGAACCATTGTATGGGGGCTAACAAGGAGAACGCAGTGCTCTGAACCGCCACCCATTGTTGGCGTCACTCTGCACAATCAGCTCCTTTCAGCGAGGCAGCCGAGGCCACAGGTCAGGAGGCCACAGGGCCTGTGGACAACCCACATTCCAGACCTCAGCATTTCACCCACATGACTCCACCTCTTATCTGCAAATGGGACCACCCTGAAATCGCTTTGCTTATGAAGGAGGAGAAAGAAGGGTGGTCCGTCTCTCTGAGTCCTGCCCTTCCTAAAACAGGGCCACAAAGCCGAGGCTTCATGATGGAGCCATAGCATTGCACGCCGTTTTCCCATTTCCCCAGAACATGTTTCGAAGCTTCCAGGTGCATGCATTGCGGGAGCCATTCATGAAGGAGGTCAAAGTGTTGCTTTCGCAAAAGGAGATGTGCCCTCTCACTTTGCTTACCCCAAAACAGCTGAATGAGCCCAAACTCCTTGGGACTGGGAGTTTGTGTCAGCCTCTCAAGGGTAATTCCAGAGACCAGGAGGGCAGGCTCAGCTCAGAGCCCCTGGGCAACCGTCCTCCATTTTCACAGCCAGCCCAGAGGTGTTCGTTTCCCTGCATTTTCCAGACAAGAAGCCCAAATTCCAGAGAACTTTCCCAGGGCGTTCTCTCTTCACCCACAGGAGGGTCTGGAACTCAGGCAGGGCTCCTTCCTCTAGAGGGGGCTGGTGGGCACCCACAAAACCATATCCACTTAAAGAGAAGCAAATGCAAATTCAATGAACATTGTTAAACTATAGGGCTTTTATTTCCCCCTAGGTTCAACCACTGAAATGTCATTCAGCTCAAAACATCAGGATATGCCTGGAGTGCTTGGTAGGGAAGCCCCTCCTATCAACCTCTGAAGGGGGCTGGATGGTTGTCTGTGGCTGTTTCCCAGATAACCTGGTACATGCTACAGACAGGTGGAGGGAACTGATTGGTTTGAGACTAGACTCACACCCCCAGGGCCCAAAGCTTTAGTGTTGACATCTAAGAGTCAAACTCTCAAGAAATTAAGGAAAGCATTACATATAAAAAGTGCCTGGGAGCCTTGCTTCTCAAAGTGAGGTCCGAGGACCCGAAGCATCAGCATCACCTGGGAGCTTGCTAGAAAGGCCCAGGGCAAGCTGGGCCCAGCCCTCCAGCACAGCACCGCACTCAACCTGATGCCGCTGATTCCTGTGCCCCTGAGAGGCACCGCGGCTCAGCCGTCCCCTCCTCCACGGCCTCAGCCCTGCCAGCCCCCTGGGGAGATGGTGGAAACCACAGGCACCCTGGTCTTACCCCAGGCATGCAGGCCGTGCTGCCTGGACTGGGCCTGGTGCCTCTGTGCTTCTCTAGAGCTCTGCAGGTGATGCTAAAATACAGCCGCTGAGAACCGCTGCCCCGGGCCGCGGCCGCCCAGTAGAAACACAGCGCAAGCCACAGATGTGCTTTCCATTGTCTAGTGGCCACATTAAAAAGACACAGATGAAACTCATTGTAATAACATTTTATTTTGTGTGATGATTTCAACATGTGATCAATGTAAAATCATTAATGAGGCATTTTCAGTGTTTCCATCACACGGAATCCTCACAATTCAGTGTGTCCCCTGCACTTCACGTGCGTGGACAGCCACGCTCCAGCGTGTGAACGTGTGGCCAGGGTCACCTCGTGGGCAGTGCCCGCAGTCCTGCTCCAATCTCTCATTTTACATGTGGGGACACTGAGTCCTGGAGTGCTGGGTCTCAGAGCCTGGGTCCTGACTCGCGCTCACATGGGTGCCCGTGGGAAGCAGTCACCTCCCGAGGCCTCTCTGCCTGTATTGCCTGTGGAGTGGGGTCAGGAGTAGAGAGCGGGGCCACCTTCCACCCGACAAGGTATGGACTGTGGCTAAAGAGGCTGCACAGCCTGGGACAGGGGCTCCCGTGGGAACGCAGGGGACACCAGGTGCTGGGCCCCTTCCAGGAGCTGCCACGGTAGGGAAGTCAGGCTCTGCTCTGTTTCCAGGTCTGGGTGGGAGAGGCCTAGGGAAAGCTCTGCCTGCCTGTGTGTTTGGTGGTTACGTGGATGGATGAGGCAGCGCTCCAGTGAATGAATGGATGTTCCCATTCTCGCTTCTGCCAGCCCCGTCCACTTTCCGGGTACTCAAGGGAACTGCCCCAGGCAGGAGTTATGCTCCCTGAGGTCAAGGGGAGTCGCCACCTACATGTGAGAGCCTCTGAGTCAGGCAGGGGCTGGGGCCTCACTAGGGCGAGGGAAGCCCAGGTCCTCTGCAGGCTTCAGCTGCGTGTGCTGGGGGCGGCTCAGCAGACGGGCAGCAAGAGGGAGTGTGTGGCTTTCTCTGCTCGGCTCTGAGTTGGAAGCGAGGACAAAAGCCAGAGGAGCTGTCGGTGATGAATCCAGCGCTGGCCTCCTGGGGCCGGGTGGTACAGGGGTGCGGTTTGGCTGCCTGAGTTGTTGCTGGAGGAGGTCTGACTTCCTGCAAGTTTGACTGTGGGGCAGGCAGGTCTCCTGGACTGGCTGCTGTGGATGTGGTCAGCTCTGCTTTGATGGATGGGCTTGTCATTGTTTGTATTTAACCTCTCCTCTCTCAAAAAATTCAACCATCAGCAATTAGACATGGTTTGAAAACAAAGATCTTTCTAACCTTGTTCCACCTGCTGGCTTCATCTCTACCTAAAGCGTTTTTCTATCCCTGACCAATCTCCCCGTGGGTGGGGAGGTCTGTGGAAGGGTCAAGGCAGCCTTTAGCCATGGGCAGCTCACCGTGGGTGAGCCTCTCTTTGGCCCCCAGAGCTGTGGCTGCTCCCTGAGCAGGGGCATGCCTCACCACAGCTGGGCCACCAACCGCCCACCTTGAGGACTCCCAGGGTGTCCGCAGTTTGTGGAGTTTGGGGTCCCCAGGGGGCCACTCCTGGCTTCGGGCATGGAGTGGACTGGCTCATACTGGACCAGGTCAGGGACCGTGGGTGAAGTTGTTAGAGATGGAGCGTTGCAGAGACAGCCCATCCGCCACGAACAGCAGTGACCCCAGTAACGACGAGGTAACTGAAGCCAGGGTCGGCCAGGAAGTTCAGGCAATGCCGCAGAAGGGCCCACTCCTTAGGGCTGGTCTGCTGAATCCCGACCTCTGCCTGCCCCCATCTGCCCTGGGGCCATCCGCCCTTGGTGGGTGCTCTGTTCCTGCTGACCTGCCCTGCCTGGTCACGGCTATAGAATCTTGCCCCCGGACATGGCTGGCTGGAGTGGGACAGAGACCAGGGACCGAGGCTGGGCCATCCTTGGCCCCCAGCACCTGTGCAGTGTCTGGTTCAGATGGGTGCCTAGTAAGTGCTTATCATTCAAATGCATATCCACTCTTCCCAGGCCCCCGTATCTCACTGGACACCATGACTGTTTAGGAACTTGGAATTCCTAGGATTGGTGCTCTGTCCAGTCCCTGGCTAAGGTCTCCGCAAGGTGAGGTGGAGGTCGGCATCTGCCAGGGCAGTGCTGTAGCTGAGACCGCAGCTGGCCCAGCGGACAGAGCCTGAGGGGCAGCACCCAGCCCCTTGGCTGGGATCCTGGGCACCCACAGCTAAGAGGGAGATGGCACCCGGCTCGGGTCCGGCAGTTCTGCAACACGAGGCCGTGTCCCTGAGGTCATCCTGGCCTCTCCTCGAGCTCATGCCTCATGATCAAGGATGGTGCCCACAGCGCCTGACACCTCGTCCACTCCCAGGGCAGGAGCGGGGGTACAGGCCTGGACACTGGTTCTCTTTCGTCAGGAGGAGCAAATTCCTCATGGAGCTGGTAGTCCTGCCTACTATATGGGCCTGTAGCCCACCTGGCTGCAGGGGGCCTCCCTGGGGGCACACATTGCCAAACCCCGCTCTGTAGGTGAGGAAGAGGGAGAACGTGACTGCTGGGCAGGATACCAACAGCCCAGGGCGGAAGCATTTTTCTCAGGGGCGTTGGTGGCATCTTCATTTCCAGTGGCATTTCAGCCTCTTCCCCTTTACCCTGGAATTCCGCATGAGCTGGTTGTGGGGTGACCAGCCACCCGCTTTGCCTGGGGCTGAGGAGCTCCTGGTTGAGGGACTTTCCGTGCTAAACCCGGTGGGCCCCAGCAAACCAGGACCCACTGCCTGCCCAGCACTGCAGCCTGGTCTGGGGACTGCACTGCAGAGACCGGTGACTCTCAGCTGCCGTGACACCTGGCCATGGCCCAGGCTCCATGCTGAGTGCCTTCTGCATACACTGCGTCATTTGACCCTCAGAAAAGCCCACAGGCAAACACACACCCCGTTTTACAGACAGAAAACCGAAGGTCAGAGCCATGAGGGCACTGGTCCAAGATGACATTCTGGCAGGAGCGGAGCCCGCGTGTGGGTCTGGGTCTGCCGGACACAAAGCCCAGGGCTGTCATGGTAAAAGGTCCCCAGGAGGGGCCACAGGGACATAAAGGAAGAAAATGAGGCCGCGCTGATGCAGAGCTCAGGAGTGACGCTCGCTCACACAGGGAGGGCAGCTTCGGGAGAGCCTCAGAGATGGAACAGAGGGACCCAGGGCAGGAAGGAGGCTTAGGACCAGGTCTGGGCTGAGCGTCATTACCACTGGGGGACAATGTTCAGTGTCCAGGATGTCCAGATGGTCTCAGTGATTCTGAAATTATTGAGGGAGGCAGCGGCCTGCCCACCCAGACAAGGTTCTTTTGAAAGTCAAGTCCCACGTCCCCTGGGTTCCTGGTCCCCAGTCACTGTGTGCACAGACGGCCTTGGGGACAGCAGGACCAGGGCCAGCCCCGCGGTCTGACTCTAATGTGTTCTTGTGTGCTTCTCCCAAGATGAAATTCTAGTCCAGGAGATTTTGGATCAGAATAAAACATCGACTGAAATGCCAAGTACAGCATCAACATTACTAACAACAATAAGTAAGGAAAAAAGCAAAAGTATTCCCCTTTTTAGCCCTCGAATTGTACTTATTCCTGGAGGTCTGTGGTATTGCGTACATGACCCTATGATTTGAGCATTAAGACCAGCTACTTCTGGGGCAAGGGCACATGGAGATGTGAACACTGCGGTGTCCAAAACCATTTCTGCAGCTTCCGGAGGCGGAGGAAGTCAACCCTAGACTGGCAGGGATGATTCCCTTTACTCTGGGATCTCTGGAGAGCGCGTTCAGGCACGTTCTCGCCCTCAGGAGCCACTGCAGGAACGCAGGGCACAGGAACATGAGAAGTCTGCTCTAACCAGCACTTTATAGTTCAGCACGCACTAAGAGAGCAGGGCAGTTCTCATGACCCCATTTGACAGAAGGTAAAACCAAGGTCTGGCAAATGACTTGCCCAGCGCCACACAGTGAGTCACGAACAAACACAAACAACACGCTTTCCCCAAGTGCAGCTTCACGTGATCAAAGACATATGCAAGTAAATAGGACAGCTCATTTAAAACCAAGACTGTGTATTAAATCAGCAGTTGCCCAGGAGAGAACTGGGTATCAGAAATCCCTACGCAGTGCCTGAAAACGCATTCAGCAGCAGGAAGTCGAGGATGTCCAGTCAGTCTCAGTGTTTCTGAAATTATTGAGGGAGGCCCACCCAGACAAGGTTCTTTCGAAAGTCAAGTCCCACGTCCCCTGGGTTCCTGGTCCCCAGTCACTGTGTGCACAGACGGCCTTGGGGACAGCAGCACCAGGGCCAGCCCCACGGTCTGACTCTAACGTGTTCTTGTTTGCTTCTCCCAAGATGAAATTCTAGTCCAGGAGATTTTGGATCCGAATAGAACAGCATCGACTGAAATGCCAAGTACAGCATCAACATTATCAACAACAATACGTAAGGAAAAAAGCAAAATTCCCCTTTTTAGCCCTCAAATTGCACTTATTCCTAGAGGTCTGTGGTATTGCATACATGACCCTCTGATTTGAGCATTAAGACCAGCTATTTCTGGGGCAAGGGCACATGGAGATGTGAACACTACGGTGTCCAAAACCATTTCTGCAGCTTCCGGAGGCAGAGGGAGTCAACCCTAGACTGGCAGGGATGATTCCCTTTACTCTGGGATCTCTGGAGAGCGCGTTCAGGCACGTTCTCGCCCTCAGGAGCCACTGCAGGAACGCAGGGCACAGGAACATGAGAAGTCTGCTCTAACCAGCACTTTATAGTTCAGCACGCACTAAGAGAGCAGGGCAGTTCTCATGACCCCATTTGACAGAAGGTAAAACCAAGGTCTGGCAAATGACTTGCCCAGCGCCACGCAGTGAGTCACGAATAAACACAAACAACGCGCTTTCCCCAAGTGCAGCTTCACGTGGTCGAAGACATATGCAAGTAAATAGGACAGCTCATTTAAAACCAAGACAGTGTATTAAATCAGCAGTTGCCCAGGAGAGAACTGGGTATCAGAAATCCCCACGCAGTGCCTGAAAACGCATTCAGCAGCAGGAAAGTTCAGCACTCTTTTGAAATCTTGCATCCGGATGTAAATTCTAGTTCCCAGGACTGGTTTACCCGCCATCTGCCAAAGCCCACACCACTGGTTCAAGGGGGTCAGGGAATGCCTGACTCTGTTTACACGTTAACTTGCCAACGCACATTTCCAAATAGAGCTTGCAAACCAAATTAGCATCCCATCCCTACACCGTATAATAAAGTATGGGCCAAAAATGTTCATACATGTGTAATCAAGAAAACTTTTCCCCATTTTTTTTCATGTTCTTCATTGAAGATGCTGGTATTGATGAGAATTATCAAGCGGGTGGTTCTGAGAATTATCATGAATTATTAGAGAATCTACAGTTTTCTTCTGGCACTGAGGACAAAATTTCCAATGACGGTAAATGCAACCCAGCAATTACCCCTGCCCAAGTCCAGCTGTAACAGGAGAGGCAGGAGTCAGGCAGAACCAGGCGGAAACATCTCCTTGGTGGAGGATAAATCTTTGGTGGGAGAACGTGCCTGCTTCCCCAGGTTGGGCAGATCTCCCAGTCTCTGTTGGGATTGAGGGACCCCCAGCACCCCTACCCGCTGCCATGGGGCTGACCCTGGAAAAACCACAGCTCAGGGAAGCACAGCAGAAATGTCTCGGGGCAAGCAGATGCCAGGACAGGAAGGCAGGTGCTGCCACAATGCCTGGCCCCTTCTCCCAAAGCTTCAGCCACGTCACTTCTCCTTCGCAGGACAGGTGCAGAGAGAGCCAGAGTGCCCCCTGGGGTTTCCCCCAGAAGTGGGGAAAAGCCTCTGTCCAACAGATGAGTCTGCTGGGAAAAAATCAGTACGCAAAGGCCCTGAGGATAAGACGCTTGGACCCCACGGGGAGGGGGGTGGTGAAACACATCCTCTTTACCCTGGAGGTTCAAAACCAGAAAGGGCACATGTATATGACCAGGTGTGTAAGTCCGTTCTCATGCTGCTATAACAAACTACCGGAGGCTGAGTAACTTAGAAAGAAAACAGGTGTAATTGGTTCGTGGTTCTGCAGGCTGTGCAGGAGGCATAGCTGGGAGGCCTCAGGAAACTTAGAATCACGTCAGAAGAGCACAGGGGAGCATGCACATCTTCACATGGAGACAGGAGAGAGAGAGTGAAGGGGGAGGCGTTACCCACTTACAAACAACCAGACTTCATGAGAACTCACTGTCGTGAGAACAGCAAGCGGGAAATCTGCCCCCATGATCTGATCATCCCCCACCAGGTTCCTCCCCCAACACTGGGGTTACATTTTGACATGAGATTTGGTTGGGGACACAGAGCCAAGCCGTATCAAGGACACACATGTAGGACATCTGTGGTGTTCCCCACACACAGGACCAGCTCACAGATCCACAGTCTGATGGTGTACCAGGAGCAAAGCATTTCTGTAGGGGCCCAGGAATCTGCATCCATTACCCCAAACAGTCCCCCGACTAAGACAGAATCTGGAGCTGGGAAGGACTGAACTAGTTTTTTCAAGGCTTAAACAAGAATAAGATTCTATTTAAAATTAACATGAATACCTAATTTGTCTGCCTTATGGTTAGAGTGGTGTTTGCCAACCGGTGATTTTCTCTTTCTGCCATTGCGTCTCCATTTATTAATTGGGATTCTGTTTTAAGTAAGTGCTGCCTCCACTCCCCGGTTGGTTTATGTATTCAGTTGTTTATTACTGTCTACATGGGCTCCTGGGGATTTACCGTAGTCTGTGGGTTATAAAACACTAACACCATTACTGATTGTGAGCCAAGAACTGAGTGTTCAGTAAGTTCAATGGCACAGCATTCCTTCTGGGCCCTCTCCACAGACAGAGCTAGGAAACGTATCCCTGCAAATCACAGATCCATGCAAAGCTTCCCTTTCTGCTCACCCTTTCTTCCTATCCCAGTTTTGTAGCCGTGATCTTTTGTATGTCTTTTCTGTTGTTTGCAGCATTTTGCCATTTCAAACACAGCTGCGGTGAGCAGCCTGATCACAGGTGTTTTCAAACTGTTGGAAATTATCTCGAGGGATAATTATCTCCAGGGTCAATTCTTAGCATTGGGAGGTTGGGTCAAAGGACGTCTGGAGGAGTGAATATGTAGTTTTAATAGTCAGATGAGGCCTGGCTCTGTGTTCACATATTGAGTTTCCAAAACATATTTTCAAATAAAACTTGAAAATGATATTAGCATTTCAACTTAGCATTTTTTTAAATAAATGACCAAAATGCTTATAACTGTGTAATCAAGAACATTTTCCCCATATTCATCATTGAAGAAACCAGTGCTAATGCGAATCTCCATGGTGCTCATTCTGAGAATTATCACGGGCCACAGGTGTCTCCTGACAGTGAGGAGAGTTTCCAGCAAAGGTAAACGTGCCCTGCCCATGCTCAGAGCTCCACAGGAGAGATGGAGGCAGAAGTGTGTGAGGTGACTGTCTCCCTCCAGCCTCGCCACAATGCCTTGTTATACCATTAGGTTTCCAACAACCTCGTCATGATGAGAAGCGGTATTTGTGTTACTTTTGTTTGTAACTGTCTCATTATGAGTGAGTTTGAAACTTTCCTATGTTTAAGAGCCATTTTTATATCACTTTTGTAAATGTTGCATTTATTACATTTTCCCATTTTCCTTTAGGGTTTTGGGGTTTTTTTGCCTCAATTTCTCAAAGCTGTTTATATTTTAAGAACATTAAAACTTTGAGATACATGATTGATATAGAGATGACAGACTGATTGATAGATTGATAAATGGATAGATAGATGATTGTTGGAACTTATTAGTTGACTTTTGACTACGTTTATAATTTTTCATGCAAAAAAAGTCAGTTTTTATATAGACAAAATTATCCATTTCTGACTGCCTTTAGCTTTGAATCTGAGTTAGAAAGTCTTTCTCCACACTGAGGCTAAAGAGGAATTTGTTTTCCTCCAGTATTTACAGGACTTCATCCGCTATGTCCAATCACCGCTCCATTTGGAGTTTATCCCTGAGCATGGTGTGAGGTGTTCCCAATTTTATCTTTTTATGAATGGCTACCCAGTTATTCCTGAACCATGTTTTAAAGGCCCATCTTTGCCCATGGTTTGCAAAGCCACACGTATTACACACTGAGTTTTCCTGTGTGTGACTATCTCGTCTGGGCCATGCAGCACGGTCCTCTACTAAGGGGCCAGCACCACAGTGTGCTATTCAGACTGTATTTTAACCACTGAGACACATTTCCCTCTCTTAGTTCTTCATTTTAGCTTTTCTTTTTCCATGTTTCCCTGATTATAGTTTTGGTAACATGTCTAATTTCTTTTCCTTGAGTTTGATTATATTTTTATTGGGACTGCATTACATTTGTAAAGTAATTTAGAAAATAACTGGAATTTTTACAATGTTGAACGGTTTATCTAAGAATAAGTAATGTCTTTCCATTTGCTCAATGTCATTTTCTAACTTTTAGGAATATTTTTAAGTCTTCCTTGTATAGGTGTTATACTGTCACGATAAGCTTATTTCTAAGTATTCAGTCTACTTTCTTGCCATTAGAAGCAAGATTTTTATCTATCACTGTGTACTTTACTGGTTTTTTTAATATGAATGCCTTGATTTCTGTCGGTTAATTTTTTTATCCTACTTACTGAAGTCTTTCCTTGCTTATCTTTATCATTGATTACCTAGGGTTTTCCAGATATGCCATATAATCATCTGTTCAATAGAAATGCCTTTCTTCTTCTTTACCAATTTTTATGCAACTCATTGATGTCTCTTGCCTAATTCCATTGACTGATATATCCAGGATGATGTTTAATAGAACAGTAGTGGAGTGAGTGGGCATTCTTGCCTTGTTCATAGCCTTTATAGAAATGCCTATAGTGTTTATCCAGCAAGTAAGATTCTGGCTTTGAAACAGAGGCATACGTATTTTAACACGTAAAGAAAGCATCCATCAATGATTGAACATTTTGTCAAAGTCTTTTTCCTTATTTTTGGAACCAATAGTTTTTTTTCTTTAGATCTATGTAATAAAGTGAATGATATTAATGAGTTTCCTAATACTGAACAAACCTTGCATTTCTAAAATAAATTCCATTTGGTCATGTTGATTATATTCTTAGAATGCTATTGGATTTAACTTCCCAATATTTTATTTCATATTTTTGCATCCAAATACACAAATGACATTAGTCTCTGGTGGGTTTGTTTAACCTCTCTTTATCAGGTTGAAATAACGATGTTATAATAAAAAATGTATAATAAAAAGTTAGAAAATTTTCTTTCTTTTTAGGTTCTTATAGAGCATCAGAAGCATTTGGTCTTTTAAAATATATGAGAAATACTCTGTAAAACCATCTCTTCCTGGTGCTTTTTCTGGGGTAGTCCTTAATAACTTTATTTCTTCTTGGAAAAGTGATTCATTTAGGTTTCTTAATCAGTGGGGTCAATTTAACCATCTAAATTTTTTTAGAAAGTTATCTATTTCTTCTAGGTTTTCAAATGTATTTGCATAGAGGTCTTTAAATCATCTCCTGATTTTAAAAAATATTCTTGTTTCCATTATTTTCTCTTTATGATTTCTTGTTTTGTAAGTTTATGCTTAATCATTTTCTTCTTGATCAAGTAAGCCAGTGATCTGTCTAGTTTTTTAATTTCCATAGGTTTGGGGGGAAAGGGGGTGTTTGGTTACATAAATAAATTCTTAAGTTGTGATTTCTTATATTTTGGCATACCCATCACTGGAACAGTATACACTGTACCCAATTTATAGTCTTTTATCCCCAACTCCCCTCCCACACTTCCCCCCAAGTTCCCAAAGTCCATTGTGTCATTCTTATGCCTTTGAATCCTCTAGCTTAGCTCCCACTTATGAGTGAGAACATACAATGTTTGGTTTCCCATTCCTGAGTTACTGCACTTAGAATAATGGTCTCTAGTTCCATCCAGGCTACTATGAAAGCCGTTATTTCATTTCTTTTTATAGCTGAGTAGTAATTCATGGCATACACATACCACAATTTCTTTATCCACTCATTGATTTATGGGCTTTTGGGCTGATTCCATATCTTTGCAACTGCAAATTGTGCTGTGATAAGCATGCATGTGCAAGTATCTTTTTCATATAATAACTTATTTTCCTCTGGGTAGATACACAGTAGTGGAATTGCTGGATCAAATGGTAGTTCTACTTTTAGTTTTTAAAGTAATCTCCACACTGTTTTTCATAGTGGTTGTACTACTTTACATTCCCACCAGCAGTGTAGAAGTGTTCCCTTTTCACCACATCCACATCGACATCTATTTTTTTTCGTTTTTTTATTATGGCCACTCTTGCAGGAGTGAGGTGGTATAGCACTGTGGTTTTGATTTGCATTTCCCTGATTAGTGATGTTCAGCATTTTTTCAAATGTTTGTTGGCTGTTTGTATATCTTCTTTTGAGAATTGACTATTCATGTCCTTAGCCTACTTTTTGATGGGATTTTTTTTTTCTCACTGATTTTTTCCTTGTAGATTCTGGATATTAGTCCTTTGCCTGATGTATAGGTTGTGAAGATTTTCTCCCATTCTGTGGGTTGTCTGTTAACTCTGCTGATTATTTCTTTTGCTGTGCAGTAGTTTTTAGTTTCATTAAGTCCCATCTCTCTTTGTTTTTGTTGCATTTGGATTTGGGTTCGTGGTCATAAAGTCTTTGCCTAAGCCAACGTCTAGAAGGTTTTTTCCAATATTATCTTCTAAAATTTTTATGGTTTCAGGTCTTAGATTTAAGTCCTCAATCCATCTTGAGTGATTTTTGTATAAAGTGAGGGATGAGGATCCAATTTCATTCTTCTACATGTGGTTTGCCAATTATCCCAGCACCATTTGTTGAATAGGGTGTCCTTTCTCCACTTTATGTTTTTGTTTGCTTTATTGAAGATCAGTTGGCTACAAGTATTTGGCTTTATTTCTGGGTTCTCTATTCTGTTCTGTTGGTCTATGTGCCTGTTTTTACACTAGTACCATGCTGTTTTGATGACTATAGCCTTATAGTATAGTTTAAAGTCAGATAATGTGATGCCTCCGGATTTGTTCTTTTTGCTTAGTTTTCTTTGGCTATGCAGGTTCTTTTTTGGTTCCATATGGATTTTAGGACAAAATCCAGGGTTTTGATATACTAATTAGCTCCATTGTATTCTCTTCTTTACCTCATTAATTTCTGCCTTTGTGACTATTACCTTCTTTATTTTCTCTTATAGTTCACTTTCTTGCTCTTTTTCTAGTTTTAGACTTGAGTAATTCTTTTTTTTTCCTCTTACTGATAATGTTTAATACTACACTTCTTTAAATGTATTCCATAGATTCTCATGTATAGTGTTTTCATTATTATTTTCCAGAAATTCTGTCATTTTAGTTTGTATTTCCCTTTTAACCCAAAATTTTCCAATTCCCAGGTGGGAGAGCACTTTGTCTTTGTTTTTCATAATAATTTCTAGTTTTATTGCCCTGTGATCAGAAAGTACTATTTGTAATAGTTCTCCTTTCCAAAGTTGCTCATGATTATATAAATATACTCAATTTTTGTGAATGTTCCATAAGCACTTGAGAAACAGGTGTATTCTCCAGTGTCAAGATTTAACAGGAGTCTGGTGTGTGTTAATAATAGCCACCTTATTGATGGTGTTGTTTAGGTCTTCTCTTACATTTTTCACCTATTCAATCTGCCTTTTGTAAAGAATAGTGTATAAATTCTCTATTACAAATGTTTTTCTTTCTGTGTCTCCTTGCATTTTCTGTAGTTTTTGCTTTATGAATTTCCTGTGTTATTTGGTACATAGATTTTTATCAATATTATATCTTCATTGTGAGTTCAAACTTTTAGTATTAAAAACATACTTGTCATGTTAATGCTTTGAGGATTGGATTTTACTTTCTTTGCCATAAGGACCACTATCTCTAGGCCTTCATGTTAAATAATAAGATATATTTTGTCCATTCTTTGTTTTATTAGCTTACAATTTAAACTTTTATTTTTATTCATTTCCTTTTTTCTTCATTTTTTAAATTGTGCTAAAATACACTTAACAGAATTTGCCACAGTAAACATTTCTAACTGCACAGTTCCATGATGTTAAACACATTTGTATGTTGTACAACCATCACCACCATCTGTCTCCAGAATTCTATCATCTCAAATTGAAACTCTGTACCATTAACCAATAACTCCCCTTTCTGCCTCCCTCCAGGCTCTGGCAGCCACCATTCTACTTTCCGTCTCTATGAATTTGACTATCCAGGTGCCTCATATAAGTGGGATCACACAGTATTTGTCTTTCTGTGATTGGCTTATTTCATTTATCATAATGTCTTCAAGATTCATCCCTGTTCTAGAATATGTCAGAATTT